TGTGTGTGTGTGTGTGTGTGTGTGTGTGTGTGTGTGTGTGTGTGTGTGTGTGTGTGTGTGTGTGTGTGTTGTTTCCAAAGGTCTGTGTCGACTCATATAATGCGGGGTCTCGTTGTTGTATTTATGACTGTGCGTTTGGAAAAAACATCGTCATACCTTTGTCGAGTCATACCAGCTTTTGTTACAAAAAAAAAGAGAAGATTATCATACGCCAGCACTGGCTATCCAAGAAAAGCGAAGAAAGCCGAAGGAAAACAAAAAAAAATGAGCAACGAGAAGAAAAATGAAGAATAAAAGTTATAAAACGAAGAGAAAATTGTTTTGCTCTTAAATTTGCAACAGTCAGGACTGAGCAGGTGACTATGGTTGTCCGTTAAAAGGGGCATGGTCGCTAAACTCGCTATAGCTTTATTCAGGGCAATTTCCAGGCTTGCTAGAGCTATAATGGCCATGCCTCGAAGGGGACTACAATTTCCCATGAGCCAGTGAACAAGACAGGACGACTGGTTTGGGTAGCATGGGCGATAAACTACCAAAGGACAATGTGGGGTCATCGTGGCTGTATCTGACCAAAATATTGCATCAGCTACGCAGCTGGAATGCCCCTGTGGTGTACTCTGTGGCATACTAACAGGTGCACCTATCTGGATGACTCACAGCGTTGTTCAATTTGTGGTCTTAACTCTTGTGGTTGGGGTTTCCACATTGGCTGGAACCTGAATGGAGACAGCTCAACCCAGGCAGGAGCTTCTCCACCGATCTCTTCTGTCTTCACCTGAATCGAACGCCCGGTCATTATAGTTGTATTTGGTGCAACTTTCAGCCTAGGTACAACGGTAATGACCCAGCGTTCTACTCGGGCAACGGCGGTGGTTGTGTGGCTACTGCAATTGGATTTGTAAGTTTGCCATTGTCACGGATGCATCTTATTTTTTGTGGCCACTGTGTGTGTGCAGGTATAGGGTATCGGCTGCAGATGTGGTTTACTCAACCACTGCCTTGCTTGAAACTCCCGATCAAGATGGACAAAACTTTCAAGACAATTTCTGGCATGCATGTGCTGCGATATCAATGTAGGGACCTGATTTTCTGAGTCATCTTTTCCCTCTACAGGGTGCATCACCACATCTCGCCAGTCTTTCTTCCATTTGTTTATTAGTAAACTGTCCGCATATGACTTGTTCGTGGATGCACCCCTGGGTACCCCCATTGGGGTAGGACCGTAGGACTGTTTTATGTTGCTCTGTATCTAGTTTTGCATTCATGCGCATGCTCTGTTTCTTGTGGTGCTATATGGGGACAGAATGACGCATTCAACCCTTAGTTTTGTGTGTAAAATTTGATACATGACAACATATATATACGTTTCAGTTTACCTTACGGAAATGTACTTCCTCCGGGGTAGGACTATTTTTTGTTCCTCTTGGTCTAGTTTTGCATTTTCCTCTTTGAGAAAGGGGGAAATATATATATATATGCCCGGTAAACTGTAGGCAGAGAGGGAGAAGAGGACAACAAACGAGGGGCTGTGACAAACTGTTTCGTCGGAGTTTCACGGACTCATCAGGAGGTTGAACCCTATATATAACCCTATATAGTGTATATGGATTATCACTTACAGTGTAATCAGTGAGGGGATTCTACAGACTGTTAGACTGTTGAGGGTTCAGCCTCCTGATGAGTCGGTGAAACTCCGACGAAACAGTTTGTCACAGCCCATAGTTTGTTGTCCTCTTCTCCCTCTCTGCCTACGGTTTACCGGGCAGTTCTATTTGACGATATATATATACTGCTCTCCATCTCTCCTCCCTGTGTTTATACCCTCCCTCTTCACTCTGCCTCTTTCTTACAGCGTACAAGTGGGCTGTTATGGCACACAGGGTTGGGGGCAGCTCGCGCTCAACTTATCAACGTGGCGAGCCTTGTACATGAGAGGCACGGTGAAAGAGGAGTCAACAGAAGAATGAGAAAAATGAATGGTTTCACTGTGCCCTTCATGTTTGTCTTGTTTTTTTTTTTTTTTTTAATTTTTGCCGTTTGTTTCGSAAATTGCGCTCTTTTAGTTCATAGTTATGTGACAATATATACATATAGCCTCCTGATGAGTCGGTGAAACTCCGACGAAACAGTTTGTCACAGCCCCTCATTTGTTGTCCTCTTCTCCCTCTCTGCCTACGGTTTACCGGGCAGTTCTATTTGACGATATATATATCGTCAAACAGAGCTATATATATATATACACTACGTGGCCATGGTGTGCCTCTAGTGCCAGCGGCGTGTCTGGAGTGTATTTTTTGGCTGTGACAGACCTTTCTTTGTTTCGTGGGTGTTTTGCTTGCTTGTGATGTGGTGTGAACCGACAGTCTGTAGAGTTTTCCATCTGGTGTGGGTGAGCGATAGTCTGCTTTGATTTTCGTCACAGGTACCTTGAGGGCAGTGGTTGGTGCCCAACTCAGGGTATCAATTGTTGGGCAGTCGTTGATGCTTAACCACAGCCGGGGTTAAGGTGGATGATCACTTACAATGTAATCAGTTAGGGGATTCTGCAGACTGTTGAGGGTTCAGCCTCCTGATGAGTCGGTGAAACTCCAACGAAACAGTTTGTCACACCCCCTCGTTTGTTGTCCTCTTCTTTCTCTCTGCCTACGGTTTATCGCGCAGCTCTGTTCAGCCTCCTGATGAGTCGGTGAAACTCCGACGAAACAGTTTGTCACAGCCTCTCGTTTGTTGTCATCTTCTCCCTCCCTCTCTGCCTCCTACGGTTTACCGTAGGCAGCTCTGTTTGACAATATATATCCGCAGCAAACTAACATATGTCTGTGTGGGACCTCAGAGACTATTTGTGAATCCAAAGGGAGTTATTCAGTCTGTGGGACATATTCATATATGCACTAGCATTCAAGTTTTCCTCCTGTAAGGATGTGCCGATGGTTGTCCTTCGGGACCTCCGTTAAAATTGGAACGATACAGAGAAGATTAGCATAGCCCCTGCGCAAGGATGACACGCATAAATCGAGAAATGGTCCAAATATTACAAATAAGAAAAGAAAAAAAAAAAGAGGATGTGCTGATGGTTATGAAAATGTATGTTTAAAAACTGTGCTTTGCGTATAAGTATATAGTACTTTTTACACTTTATTTCTTTTGACTTGCCAGTGGGAAAAAAAAAAAGGAACTTAAGTTACCGAACTGAAGCTCCCCAGAACGGAGATGGAGCCAGAACTGAAAGTTTCGTGTTTTTTTTTTTTTTTTTTTTTTTTTTTTTT